TGTTCTTTCCATTAGACTATGCTAGTATTTCTAAAAGTAGGACTCCTATCAGTCTTACTCTCTCTGTTATCAAGAATAACCAAATAGAGTATACTTTCTATAGCTCTTAAAAAGATTTTTCCAAGTAAACCTATAGAAAACTCTTATATTTGGATTTTCTTACTTCTCCCTCCAACCCTCTAGAAAAGGAAAGGAGAAATAGCAAGTCTTCATTCACTATGGAGAATCCATAGCATCTTTACTGTGTCTCTCTTGCCTATGGTACAGACTCAGGTTTACAGATGCGATGGCAGGGCTGCCTGTCATACTGCCCATCCCCCAGCAGAGGACTCCAGAGTAGTGATAACAGTGAGCTCAGATCTCAAAACAGATAACCACATAATGGTGGTTAAGGAAATATATATAATAGAGTACATAATAAAATACAGAAATTATATAGAAATGTATAATAGAAATATATAATAATAAATATAATATATAAATATATAATGTATATAATATAATGTGGCTTGGGGCTCTGAAGGCCACAAATGCTTGGTTGAGACAATACTCTGAGGACAGGGTTCTGGCCCCATGTAGCAACTCATGCCCCCTAGAATTTCTCACTGCCTCAGAGTCATCCTTTAATCCTCAGTCTCCCTCATCTGTCATAAATTGTCAATTGCCAATATCCTTGTCAACTGTGCTTCCAAACCATCCCTTACCTCTGTTCCTTTCTCCTAACAGCCACTAACCTAAGTTCAGGTCTTTATCACCTTTCCCCTGGACTATTGCAATATCCTCCTAATTTCTCTCCCTTCTCCCATCCAGCTTCCACACAACTGCCAAAGCGGCATTCCTGAAGAACAGGTCCAGCCACAACACCCCCTGCTTAATAAGCTCCTATGGCTCACTGTTGCCACTCGGTTCAAATACAAACTAGTCTTTTTTTCCATTTAAAGTTCTTCACAACCTTGTTTCAGCCTTCCTAGGGTTGTTACACATTACTTCCCTTCACACACTCTGGTCCAGCCAAACTGGCTTTCTTCTCATGCCCCTTACATGATATCCCATTTCCCAACTGAACTTTTGGATAGGTTTTCCCCATTGTCTAGAATGTGCTGCCTCCTCACTTCTGCAATCTTAAAATCCATAGCTTTCTTCAAAACTCAACCCAAGCAGCACTTCCAACATGAAGCTTTTCCTGACTTCCCTATATTCTAGTGTCTCTCCACCCATAAAATTACCTTGTATTTACTTTGCATGTATTTCATTTATTTTCTATAAATATTGTTTTCTTTTATGGAATATAAGTTCTTTAAGGGCAGAGATTTTTTCACTTGTGTCTTTGTGTCCCCAGAATCTAGGACAGTGCCCAGCACAAAAAAAGGTGCTTAATAAGAACTTATCAATTAATTGATTGATTGCTGGGGCAGGCAGAGGATCTCCCAGGTTTCCTGATTCAGGATAAATTGTTCATGTACTTTCAGCTTTGGGATTCCTCATAGATCAAGCAACTGTGGCCTTCACGGTGTACTGTCCAGTAAGGCTACCCTCATCCTCACAATGAATGAATGATGTGAAATTATTTCTATAGAAATTCTGGGACACCACTAAAATCTTGCTTAGAATCAAGTTTGCTGACTAGTGGAATGGATGTGCCACTCTCAAAAGGGAAAAGAAATAATGGCCAATTATTCCAGCTCCTTCTACACCCTAAGTAAGGACTTTACCAGGTATACCATTGTTCTGGCAGAGAAGTTTTGAAGAGCTTGACCTATCACTTACAATGAATTGGCCCCAGTGGACATGACCACCTACCTGTCCACACTTGTTCAGGTCATGTGCACACATAAAGTCCCATTTCTAGTCGTATCTAGCCTTATGGCTGACAGCTCATTATTCATTTTCTTTTTTTTTAATTAATTAATTTATTTTTAGTTTGCATCAATTATTTCCATAAGCTTTTGAGTTTTAGATTTTCTCCCCCTCCTTCAACCTCCCTTCCCAAGATGGCATGTAATCTGATATAGGCTCTACACATACCTTCTATTTAACGTATTTTCACATTAGTATGTTGTGATGAAGAATTAGGACGAATGGGAGGGACCATGAGAAAGAAGAAACAAAACAAAAGCAAAAAAACATAGCAAATAGTATGCTTCAATCTGTATTCAAACTCCATAGTTCTCTCTCTGGATGTGGATAGCATTTTCCATCATAAAATTTTTGGAGATGTCTTAGATCCTTGCATTGATGAGAAGAGCTAAGTCTATCAAAGTTAGTCATTGCACAATGTGGCTGTTACTATGTACAACATTCTCCTAGTTGGTGCTTACTTCATTAAGCATCAGTCCACACAAGTCTTTCCAGGTTTTTCAGAAGTCCACTTGCTCATCATTTCTTATAACATAATAGTATTCCATTATATTCATGTACCACAACTTGTTCATCTATTCCCCAACTGATTGGTATCCCCTCAATTTCCAATTCTTTGCCACCACAGAAAGAGCTGCTATAAATTTTTTTGTATATTGGGTCCTTTTCCCATTGTTATGATCTCTTTGGGGTACTGCCCTAGAAGTACTATTGCTGGGTCAAAGGGTATACACTTTTTTATAGTCCCATTATTCACTTTCTAGGAACCAGTTGTGCAATGAGTAAGAAACCAGTGCAGAATTCCACCCAGGCAAGTATTAACTCATCTTCCACTATGAGGAAGGGGACAGCAAGTTCCAATATTAACTTTATTCCACAGGATCAGTTCTATCCTTTGGCCTACCTATTCCTCACTCTGAAAATTAACTGCCTTCATGTCATATGCCCCCTATGGAGTGTCCACCTGAAATAAAGAGGACTCCCAAAATAGAAACAACAAAGATCTTTAATCAAGACAAAGAAATTGAAATTCAAGTCACTGTGCAGCACTAAAGTACTGTAGTGCCAGAGAAAGTCAGAAAGGGTAGGGTTTAATACATTTCAACAAGGAGGGAGCCTCTGGAAGCTGTTACATAAGTTGTTTTGTAAAATAGCTGAAATCTATAGAGAAGGCTAGAAGGCTCAGGGAATGATGACATCTAGTCTAAACAGTGGGCTCCAGGTGCAGCAATAGAGAGTTTCTAGAGAAACCACAAGACTGCCTCCAACTGGTTTGAGCCTGCTCTGACCATGGGATCAGGATCAGATAGCCCCTCTGCTGGCTGCATTCAACAGACTCGGGGATTTTTTTTTTAATATTCTGACCTCAATGTCACCAAAGCTGTTCACATAATTACCATTTCATGGTGTAGTCTCCAAAAGTGGCTATGTTAAGCCTCCATCCAATTCCCTGCTTTTACCAACAACTATCACTGAATTATCTGTTATAAGCAGACTTAAACTACCATCTAAATCCCATTACCCTTAAGAATGACAAGATTCTAAGCCCCTCTCCAATCAATTAATCAATATTCTATCAGTGCACACCTGCAATGATAATAACAATTCATGCTTATAGAGCACTAAGGGAGAGGCAGGAGGTAGCATATGCCAAGTCAATCAAACTTCTACCACCCCTTGAACATCACCTCCCCTCAGACCCTGATAAACAGCCTAGGACCCTGAATCTAAGATCCCCAAGAATAATAGCACATCCTACCCACTCTCAACCACTAGTCCTGCTACTAGCCTATCCCATGTAGACATTTTCCAGGAAAGCAAATCTTGTGAAAATGTGACCTGGCAACTGCTTTCAACTTGTCTTGCTAGTAACTAGACCTCCATGCCACTTCCTGGCCCTCTCCTAATTATTCTGCTACCAAGGCCATCATCCTCATTCCTCACCAGGACTGTAATCTTAGACTCAGACTCTGGGCTCACCAGCTCTTAAAGGGGAATTTTTACCTTATCTTGCTCCAAATCATGCCTCCATGCCACTCCTATCATCTCCACACCATGCCAACAGATACAATCCTCTGTCCTCTTCCTTCCAACTCCATTTTATGTGTTGACTTCTCCCATTAGAATGTTAGCTTTTTAAGGTCAAGGACTATCTTGCTTGCTTGTATTTGAATCCTCACTTAGCACAGTGTCTGGTATATAGTGAGTTCTTATAAATTATCTATCCAATCTATCCATCTATCTACCCATTCATCAGTCTATTAACCCACCCATCCATTAGTCTGTCTTTCTGTCTGTCTGTCTCCATCTATCTATCTATCCATCCATCCAACTATCCATCTATCTCTTCAGCAGCCATAGCTACCAAAGACCTGGAAAAGAAGGCTCTCACCACCAAAGTCCTAGACATTGTCAGAATGGTTTCACTGCAGAAATTGATGTAATTTTATTAATGGAAGTGACACGAAAGAATATGAATTTCCACCTGCTTTACTATTGCACCCTAAGGATCACTAGGCCTTTCCATCTGACAGCTGAAACTTCCTCTCTGTTTGAGATGTGAGCTACTTAAAAAGAGAGACTTTCTCTCTTCATTGTCCAATATATTGGCATATATTCTCCTTCATATACCTTCTCTAATTTCTGTTTTACTATGATTTGGATAAATTGCTATTCTCTATGCATGTTCATTGTGAAATTGATAATAGATAGAAAAGGCATCAAGCCTTAGCTATTAAGCTTGGGGTCCCCTCTTCTCTACAAAATGGCAACATGATTAGAAGTTAGATGGAACCTGATCATATCCCCAAGACAAACAACATTTAAGAGAGCAGATAGATCTACTTCTACCCCAGTACTCCATCTCTCTGAGGAGAACAGAGCAGTGGCCTCTAGGCCCAACCTCCTCTGTCCCTCCTGGAAGGAATGAAAGTCTCACCTGGGGAAGTATGGAGGTAAAAGAGACTAGAAATGTCTATTCTGCCTCCCTTTGAGCCACACACAGCAATAACACTACATATGCAGAGCCCATTCCACTCATATTCCTTTCACTTAGGGTCCATTCTATCACAAATGTATTTAACAAAATATTTAACAAAATAAATAAAAATTCAATAGAACATAAATAATATTAATATGTGGTTTTCTAAGTCAATACACAGCCTGGAGGGATCCATAAGGTAGTTTAGTGGCACTTGCTTCTATTTGAGTTTAACACCATTGGTTTAAACTGGACACTTTGTTAAGAGAAATTTTATTTCCTAGGAATTCATTAGTTGGGGGAATCACTGCATTGTGATGATTTTGAGTCCTAACTTCCCTAAGAGATCTCAGAAATTACAATTTAGTTCATCATTTTCTGAGTACTAAAGCCATTTACCAGAAATTTACTTGGATAAATCAGGGAAATACTAAGTACATCCCATACATAAAAATACTTTATTTACAAACATAAACATATGCGTCATACAAAGCTAAAATACAGCACTGCACAGATATTAATGCTTTGAAAAGAAGGTTTAAGGTTAGAGTTATTCAACCTTTCTCATAGAGAGGTCTGAAAAAGGAGCGTCCCTACAGCAATCTGCCTTAATTGAAGTTTGCATCACGTTATCAAGGCAAAAAGTTAGAAGGAGCATCAGTGAGATCACTGAAAATTCAACTGGAACAAATTATGAAAAATTCTCCTGGCCAGAAGATTCAGGGTGGGGAATGTTGAGAACGTCCTCATCCTTCGTCACTTCAGCATATCCCAAAGCTGATGTTACCAGGGTAGTAGATTCTTGGTGGGTGAATTCATCCACCAGTTCAAGAATCTTCTACAAGGAAGTGTTGTAAGGAATAGGGTTGAGGGAGAAGGAGAAATAGGAATGAACAAAATTTTGTGGTCTTGAGCAAGAAGCATATGTCTATTCTTTTCTCAAGATATCATAAAGGAGTTTAAAGTATTTTTTCTTCTGAATTCATAAAAAACAAAGGGGAAAGGAAAGGAGAAAATGGAGATCAAACATGTCACTTTAGGCATGGAAAGGAGAGGTTGAGGGAGGGAGGGTTCATTGTCTCTAGTTATATCACTCTGTGTGATCTTATTGAAGCTGGTGTCAAAGTCCCAGGGTACGGAAAGCATCTCTTAAGTCATCAATCTCATATAGTGGCTGTAAAAAGAGAAAGAGGAATAAGGGGTAAATGGTCTAATATGCAATCTTTGCGGAGCGAGTCAAAAGGGATGAATAGGTCAAAGGAATGAGACTGAAGAAGATTAAAAAAGATACAGGAGAGGAAAGAATGGGGATAAGGAGAAATTAAAGATAAATCTACAGAAGCAGGGGGCTGAAAGATACAGATAATTTTTAAGTAAGCAAAACCTTAAAAGAAGATAAGAGGAGAAAGGAACTAAAAGATGATCAAGAAGTAACACAAATTAAGGAACAATGCAAGAGAGAAAAATGAAGAAGAGATGAAGAATAAGAAAGGGGGAAAATAAATGGTCTCAGAGAAAGAAGGAGTTAAAAGTCAAAAAGAGGGTAAGGAAAAGAGGCTCAGAGAAAGCTGGGGAGCAGGAAAGCCTCTTACCAAGAGGATACGCCGGAGTTGTCGAGACAGACGAACAGAATTTTCATGCAATCCTTCCCAGGCTTTGAAGGTCCTCTCTCTGTTTTCCACAAAGGTGTTCCAGCAATAAAAATAATCTTAGATAAAGAGGGGAGAAAAGTCAAGTCCCAAGTTAAAGAGGAGAAAGGAAATCACATTCTCTGTCTATAGGATAGGTGCATTGTTATGTAATTCTTATACTGTTAGTTTTCCATATGAGGCAGGTTTGAAACCTCACTCTCTACCCCCAAATAGATTGTGAGAGCTGCATTTTACACCAGAGGAAACAGAGATTAAATAATCTGCTCAAGGTCGAACAAGCAGCAACTAACATCGTTAGGATCTGAATACAGGTCCTTAAACTCCAAATTCAACATTATTTCCAACACAATATCCATCCTTGTGTTTTGTGATTGATCTGTCACCCTCCACAGGCAGTATTTCATGCCTTCAACTATCTTCCTATAATATTCTAACTCTAATCTTTGTCCCTAAAGTCAAATTATAACCCAAACTTGAGACCTTTCCCCTTAAATTTATCCTTACCTCAATGTCTAAATCCACTCTATCCCTACTCCCGATTAACCTAACTTTTGCATAATATTTTCCCCTCATATCTCTAGATCTTCAACCATTCTGACCTTTGAAAGTCATGATAGCAATTTGGACCCCAGCCCGGTGCAAACGTCGAAGTCCCTCTGGCTCAGCTTTCTTGTCCTCACAGAAGTAGAGACGGGCAGTGAAGATTCGAAGAGTTAGGTTAGGGTAGCAGCGAAGGAAGTTGGCGACGTGCCGGGCACAATCATAGCAAGGACTCCACGAAGTGAACCATGTTACCCTATAGCATCGGCTAGGATCAAGGTCCCAGGCAGAAATGTATCGAAGGAAGATCAATTCTACATGGCAGCCATTCTGAAGAGAGAAAAGAAAGTAAGAGAAAATTGTCAGAAGATATTTATTGGCTGTATGGAGATGAAGTTAGAGGGAGTGGAGAGTATAAGGAATAATTTTACTTCACTACAAAGCGTAGTTGGACATTTGATTTATTTACTTGTACTAAAAAAAAAAAACATTTTCCTCAGTTTGAAGGAGAAAGTAATGGCCTGCCACTCCTAGAAATATTGGTAATATTGAAAATAATTGGTAATATTGAAAATCTACCTAAACTACTTTGTGTAATTGTATATTCAATAAAATCCTGTGATTCCCCATTATCCCTAGGATCAAATACAAAGTCCTTTGTTGAATTTTCAAAGCCTTCACGACCTTACTCCAAATTACCATGTCCAGCCTTATTATATCCTACTCCCCTTTACATATCCTATGGTCCAGCCAAATTGGCCTTCTCGTTGCATTTCACACACAATAAGCTATCACTGGTCTCCATGTCTTTGTACAGGTCATCCTCCATACCTGGAATGCATTTGCTCTTCGCTTCCTTCTCTTGTTCAGCCATTTTTCATGTTCAACTCTGTGGTCACATTTGGGGTTTTCTTTGCAAAGATACTGGAATAGTTTGCCATTTCCTTCTCCAGTTCATTTTACAGATGAGGAAACTGAGGCAAACAATGTTAAATGACTTGCCTGCCAGAGTCACACAGCTAGTAAGTGTCTGATGCTGATTTGAATTCAGAACAATGAGTCATTCTGATTCCAAGCCCGCACCATCTAAGCTGCCCATCCTCATCTCCACCTCTTACAATTTCTGGGGCCTTTCTGCCTCAGTTTAAGCACCATCTTCTACATGAAGCCAATACTGATCCCCATTTCCTAGTACCCACCACCTAAAATTCCCTTTTGTTCATTTTGTATATATTTTATAGTCATTTAACTTCTCAGTGATTTAGGCCAGAGGTGTCACACACATGGCCCATGGGCAGCAAAAGGCCCACAAAACTCCCAAGTGTGACATAAATCAGATTAAAATGTAATTGAACAACAAACAAAATAAATAAAAATGTAATAAAACATAAATAATATTAGTATGTAGTTTTCTAAGTTAATACATAGCCTACAGGGATCCCTGTGTTTAGTGGTATCAGTTTCTATTTGAGTTTACACCACTGATCTAGGCAACTTTCTAAGACTCCAAGTTGCAGAAAAAGGAGTTTCCCTTTCTGAGAGTTCCCAATGTCATTGAACTCATAAGCCCCAGGCTCTATGCTATAATTTATATATGTAGAGGCAACAATGACCCAGAAACACTACACTCTGGAAGTTTATTCCACCCCTGGGCTTCACACATTAGAAGTACCTTCTGCTCCTACGCCTCTCTCTCTGATTGGTGGACTCCTCCCAAGACTTGACTAGCATGACATAGTGGATAGAGAGATGGGTTTGAAGTTAGGAAGACTTGAATTCAGGCCCCACCTTTGATATGTACTTGCTGTATGATCCTGAGCAAATCATTTAACTGCTTAGTGCCCCCAGACAAAACTCTAAGACTAAAATTCAGAGAAGATATTAATATGCATTGGGAAAAGAAGAATTAACAATTGGGATGTCCCTATGCCAATAAAAACACAGGTCCAGTCCCATTCCACATTTTTAATATACTTTTATATGTATGTATGTATGTGTGTGTGTGTGTGTGTGTGTGTGTGTGTGTGTGTGTGTGTGTGTGTGTATAATCTCCCCCATTAGGTCTAAGTTCCTTTCTTTTCCCAGCACAGTACCTGGGATGTAGTAGGTATTCAATAAATAATAAGAGGCAGCATTTATATAGCACATTAGTGTTTTAAAACACTTTCACAGGGGCAGCTAGATGGCGTAGTGGATAGAGCACTGGCCCTGGATTCAGGAGGACCTGAGTTCAAATCCAGCCTCAGACACATAACACATACTAGCTGTGTGACCCTGGGCAAGTCACTTAACCCCATTGCCCAGCCAAAAAAGAAAATAAAACAAAACAAAAACTGCAAAAAAAAATAAATAAAACACTTTCACAAATATTTTAGTCTCATTTTAGCTTTGGAAATTTCCTGGGAGGTAGATGTTATCATTATCCCCATTTTACAGATGAAGAAATTGAGATGGAGGTTAAATGACTTGCTCAGAGTCACACAGCTAGTAAGTGTCTGAACTCATGTCCTTAACTCTTTTTAGGTCCAGAGCACCAACTTCCCAATATTTGCTGATTGATAGATTGTGGGGAGTAACCTCTGAGCAAAGTGGAAGAATAGAGTGAAAACATAGGTTATGTGATAGAGAAAGGTGTGGGAGTGTGGATAGTGACAAATAATAAGAGAATTGGTTGATTATGTAAGTATGTGGTAAATGTCTCATAGGAGTATAAGCAGTTATTTAGAATAAATGTAGCTAAAAATAAAGAAGAAAATTAACAAATCCCAACGCTCAGATGATTGGATCTCCATTAGCTGGTTTAGCTCTAGACTGCCTAGAAAGTATACTCTGATTGATACCTTGTTGCGAAGATAGCCAAAGTCCAATGAGAAGGAGGTAGCACTATCCCTACGTTTCACAACATAACACAGGTAGGTTTCGTGACGACCCCTAGCCCATCTTACATTTTTGAAGTGATAGAGGAATTTCCTACGATTCATTAAGAGGCTGTGGACAAAAGAGAAGAAAGCAGAGATTAGAAGAGTTTGTCTTTTGCTGCAGTCACTGTAGACATCAATTCAACTTAGAGTCACTTACCACTGGGGTCATACTTGACAGGGGAAATGCTATTGCACCTTTGCCACAGTCCTGAGAAACATTCACATCTATTTCCTTGAGACTGGCTTATCAAGAACATGGAAAAACTATTATTTAGGTCACTTGGAAAGTAACTCATAGCTTCAGTAATTGGCTGATTCCTTCAGACCCTGGAGGGACCTATTTTATTAGGAGGTAGAATCACAGAAGTTTTATAACCTAGTATTTTCTCCAGTAATCACACAATAAGTGTTTCTCAAATTATTGAATTATATTCATCTACCCCACATCCTCCTCTTTTCATTTGTACCCCTAAATACTTCCCTTTTTCATGAATCACATTAGCGAATTTTCTGGTCTCATTTTTCCTTCTTCACAACCAACAGAACTTTAGCAACCTTCTCCTTAGAATGTCATGTCTGATTTAATTAAACATGATATGCTGGGCCTCAAAGAGAATTTTTTTATTTCTCTTGATCCTATAAATCAATCAGCACCTCTATCAAGTACCTATTATGTACAAAGACTCATACTGTGTCAAATGTACTAAGGATTTGTAAGAATATGAGTGTAATAAACAATGATGGTAGTAATAATGATGAAATGGGAAGGATAACACTAATTATGTCAAAATATATAACTCCTATTTTAGAGTTTTCTAGGTTGCCTTATATTGTTTAGTATGTAAAATAAGTCCAATTTTTCAACCCAGAACATTGCTCAAATGCATTCTTGTAAACCTATAGAGAAAAATTCTTAATAGAGATTTTTTTTGGTAGCGTGTGTATATGTATGTGTGTTGAAAGAGAAGGGGCATCATCTGAAGTTACAGAGTAGGCATAAGAATTCCCTTTCCTCTCCCTCATCCCTGCCTAGTGGTCTATTTAATAAAGCTGTTGAGTCTTGTTAACCCCAACCAATCTTCTTTCATTGTCATCTCATTCTTTGTCTTCTGTAAATTAAATGAAGTAGTCAGAGTATGGTGTCCTGTGTCTATGGTCCCTGCTGCTGGGGAGGCTGAGGCTGGTGGATCACTTGAGTTCCAGAGTTCTGAGCTTCAGTAAGACTAAAGCTGATTAGGTGTCTACGCTGTATGGCACCAATACGATGAATCTCCTGAAGCAGGCTTCCAAGTGAGGAGTGAACCAGCCCAGGCAAGAAAAAGAGATCAAATTAAAAGTTCCACACATGGCCACTGCATTTCCATCCTGGGAGAGATAAGGAGACTCAATTTCCAAAACAAAAAAATTAAATAAGGCAGCTTGTTGTATTAGAAAGAACAATAGACTGGGAAATACAAGTTCTAGTCTATGCTGTACCACTAACTACTTCTCATTAACTAGCTGTGTGATTTGGACAAACTCACTTTATCCCTCAGGGCCTCAGTTTCCTCATTTTTAAAATAAGGAGATCAGATTCAGAGGTATCAAATTCAAAGCCATCAACATTCCTGAGTACTGCCCAAACCAGACTAAAATGTAATTAGGAAATGTGCAAAAAAAAATAAAAATACAACAAAACATAGATGCTGTAAATCTGTATGCCAATATGCATGCTGCAGAGATCTGTTTCTATCTGAGTTTGACACCATTGGATTAGATGACATCTAAAATCTTTCCATGATCTTAATATTCTATGAGTTTGTGCAATTAACATTTCTCCTGCCAACTTACAGAATCCCTTTGTAGACTTTTTCTCATTCTCCACATAGATTAGTAAGTCTTTTTATAGCAGCTCTTCCTGTCACAAGTAAAATGAGTTGCATGACCTTTCATCTTTCTTTGGGTTTTCTCACCTCCCTCTTTCTCTATCTCCTAGCCCTCTCTATGTTACCAGCTAAACAGCAGGAACTTTCTATTTCTCACAGATTTTACATTAAAAAAAATCCCCTCCATGTATTTCACCAGAATGAGGTGGATTTTTTGAAGACAGTTTTTAAATGTTCAAATTGTCAGCTACTCTGAACAGCTGTGCTCCCTGAGGTAGAACACTAGCTGCTTCCTTAACAATGCAAACCAGAATCAAATGGGTTTAAAATATCCTTAATATAATGATTCTCTCCTATAGTGACCAACTCGAGTGAATATTACAGAGATTTTATATTTCCCTTGGGAGACTTGCATAGATCAGTGACCCCCAATCTTCTTGAGTAAAAGGACTTCTTCCTAACATCAAAAAAAAACCCTCATGAAGTCTTACATGATAGTTGTGCTATAAGCATTATCAAATGAAAAAATACTTAATGACAAGAAGTTAGTGTGAACTCATTAATTAAATTTCCATTTTATTAGTCACAATAGCTTCTACATACTGCTGAAAAATAGTGATATATGCATATGAGAAACACCATTTATTCAGCATATACAAGGTGTAATTGCTTATTTATTATACTGAGTCACACTGGACATTTTGTTAGAGCTAAATATGGATCAAAATGACAATACTTGATAAGAATATGGATGTGTAGTCCCCTTGAAATAACTCCAAGGCACTCCCAGGGGGCCCACATATTGGAAACCATTGTATTAAATATTGGTCATTTGCCAAACTTTGCCTTTGTCTCTGTCTCTATTTCTGTCTCCTTATGCTTCTGATAGTCCTTTTTCATCTGTCAGTTATATTTGCTTCACAGAGACCACTCTTTTTTCTCTTCCTTTAGCTATTTCACTTTTTCTCCCATGAAATTCATTCTCTTCCTTTCCTTATTTTTCTTTCTCTGCCCAACCATATCAAAAGTCACTTCCCCTATTATCTAATTTGCATTTCATTAGAAACAAGCACTGGACTCTGCCGCCTCAATGTAGCTCTAACCCAAGCATTATTGACCAACACCTGCACTTTAAAAAGTAGGTAACCACAAGGGTTAAAGACAAATAGGAACACTCCACAAGAGTTTGCCTTCAAATATATGGTACTGAGTTCAGTTATTCCAAGCCATAAGAAAGTCTTAAATAGTTCACCCTGATTGGTAGCTACCTGGTATAGGTACCATATACACGACGCATATGGATAAGGTATACAATATTGTAATATAAAATGAATATTCATCCTTTTGAATACTTGTCCAACAAGTCAAAATCATTTCTTGTATAAAATGAATTATTATCACTATTGTTCAAAGCAATATAAAATTTTAAGACAGAAATTTTTATAGAAAATTCATATGCATTGGGAATAATAGAAACTGGGACTACAGGAAAAATACCTGCACAAAAAAAGCCAGAGGGTTTTGGCACTGAGATTTAAACAGAAACTTCCTTGTTTCCTCATCTGTAAAATGAGGTGCTTGGAATAGATGACCTTTGAGGCTATAGATTTAAGATCCTATGTACTAGTAAAAGTAAATAAATACAGAGAGAGCTAAGGAATATGAATGGAGAGATATAGAAAAAAGTTTAACACAAACAAACTTTGAACTTGAAAGAAAAGGGAAAACATCAGGGAGAACTGAGTCAGATGAAAATCACCAAAAAGAAAAGAGAGAGAAAGAGAAGACCAAAGATAGATGCTCATGACTCAGATTCATTCTGAGCAAAAAGCCAGAGAAAGCAAGTGAACGTTTTCATTTACTTTTGCTGTGAATTGCCCTGGTCTGACCTGTAAGGAGGCTGCCTCTTTACCTGTCCATGACTGTGATGGGGAATTAGGGGATCTTTCTTGGCTCCCTGGAAGTCTTGGAGCTAGAGGAAACTGTTGCTTCAACCACTGCTGCTCCACAGGCGTATCTGTCTACCTTTCAAATCCAAACATTCAAATTTGAGCTTACCCTTCAGTGCTCCTCCCCCTGTCCCCCATACCATGTACCTTGCATCAGCATGTTCCTCCTGATTTGGGTATCTTAAAGGGGGAGGAGTTGTCCAAAAGTATAGTGGTAAGGGTTAAACAACTGGGGAGAGTTAGGCTTAGTTTCTGGAACTGCATCTCTGAATCTCCTGACTCCATCACCAAAGGATGCAGAAGTCTAAATCCACACACAAAGCTCAGGATCAGGCTGCTTTAAAATTTTCAGCATTTCTGTATTTGATCACTGTTTAATTAGTAATAGTAATAATAATTGAACTTTGCATTTAAATAACATACTATTCCATGAGTTAAAAACACCTTTAGTCTAGTACCTCAACATCTCTGTGAAATAAGAGCAAGGCACTGACATCTTCATTTTGCTGAAGTTCAATAGAACATAGGATCAGGTAGATTCCAGACCACTGCTTCCCAGTACAGTACTTTTTTTTCTGGATATTATTGCCACGCTACACTGTAGCACTGAACTGTTGCCCAAAATAATCATTCTTTTTGGTACCACATTTCACTACCAAATTATTTCAAAAATGTAAGTAACCCTAAACAAACAAAAGCTACTTTTGTTGGTCAGGTGATTTCTCTGCATTTGGAGAAATATTGGGCCTTTTTTCCAATATAGAAAATTTCATTCTTATCCTAAGACAGGTTAAACCTTAGAAGATTTCCCCACTGCAAATATTCTGACCCTCTCCCATATTAAAATTAAACCTCCATCATTTCCATTTCATTAATCATAACTAAAATTCAACCTTTCTTAACCTTATATCTTCATCCTTGAGGTCAAGAGACTATCTCTTGCAAATCTCCGAAGTAAAAATGTCACCAATCAAAGACTCTGATTGGTTAAGAAGGTTCTTATAAGGCAGGATGTTTAAAAAAAAAATGAAGCACCAACCTCACAGGATTAGTACTTGTGCAAGTAGGTATAGGAGAGACCATGTGCATATAATAGAGATAATCAAGAGACCCCCTCTCCCCCTCCCCCATTTTATTCTCACTGGGATGCTTCACAGGGAGTTAAGCATGTATCCTGGCCACTTCTAGTTACACATATGCTCTGGCTGGGACATTTTCCATGGAGCTAAGCATGCACCTTGAACAACTCTAGAGAGTCTATGATCAGACCATGATAGGACCACCACTTCTGATGACACATGGTCTCTGGCTTCTTACTGAAGGGCATATATGGTCAAAAGTTCCTAATTGTTTCTTTGGTCCCTGTGGTTAAGGGGCTGGGGTAGGGGGTTGAAAAGGAGAAGAGGGAAGAGAAAAGCAAGCAAAAAGAGGACAGGAATAGCCAGCCATTCAGTAAGCTTAAAAGGGAAAACATTTTCTACTATCACTCCCTCTTCTCATCTATCAAATCTGTCAGGAAAGAGGGAGAGAATCTTGCGCTTTCCTCTTTCAGAATCCCCTTCTCCCAACAGCAATAGTTACTGAATGCTTCTTGAATGTTCTCTGAAAAGTCACCAGAGATCACAATGCTTGAATTCTTGAATAGGCTGGATGGAGAATTTGATGGTGCAGAAGATGTGTATATATTTCCATTTCCTCAGTGATTTTATTAAGAGAAATATGGTCTATGACTTTCTGGTACAGTAGCAAAGGATGTTCCAGAGGGTGGTTATCAAAGGACTAGTGCCTGTGAAATAAATGGACATTAGACTTGCCTAAGTGAATAGGCATCATTATATGACAAAATCTTATGGTTTCACCTATCAATTAGTGAGTAGCTAGGACAGTCTCTTGGTTGCTTAGAGGTTGCTTGATACCCTGGGTCAAAAAAAATAGAGATGAAGATGATGGAAAAAGAGAGGAGACAGAAGCCCAGGTCATCTCTGAAGGTATGGGTGGTTGTGTACAAGAAAGAAATCACTTCAGTTCAAATATACCTTGCTAAAGAAGTTTGGGCTAAGATATAGAACATAAACTAGGGACCAGAGCTATCCCTCTTGGGGGAAACAAAAGTCCAAGGAAGTCTACTTTGGAAGCAACACTTACAGGGTATGGCCAAAGAAGTCAGGATGTCTTCTGCTACAAATCTGACTTAATGGTCAAGAAGGTGCTATCAGCCCTCTAAAGTAGAATCCAGACTGGGTTTGTCAGAAGCCAAATTCTGCTGGACTGCCATTAGAAAACCAAAACAGGGTTAAGAATGGGAGCCACCCTAAGCCCTGAAGATTATATCCACAGCCCCAACATTTCCTGAGTCATTTCCCCCTGAATTCACAGGACCAGGTACATCAGCAAAACTGATGATTCAGGGTGTGTCTTGTGCTGGACAGAGGATGCGAAGTAATCCTTAAACTCTTTTTAAGAACATAGCTTATACCTCTAAAGCCTCTGTAGGGGCAAGCCTTCTAAGAACTGAGTCAGATGTACTATCCATATTTGGGTTATATTAGAGTGAGCTTGGAGTCCTCTAGTAAAGTCACTAATATCAATAAAAAGTAGATATCATAGCTTTGGTATGTCCAGAGGAAGTATACATCCTTCAGGCTCAACTCAAGACTATTTCAAAGTACTGGCAGAGTATTTATTGTAGGCAGGGAGCCCAGGCTTTGTACCTGAACACCCTGACAATCCATGCCTCTTCTATAGAAATTTACATGAAAATAGAAAATACAGGAGAGAGATAGATCTTCCAGGGATGCTGAAGTCCATGAGGCAGGGGGTAAAACTAGAGGAATTTGAATTTAGAGAGTCTGCAGTGCTTGAAGAATAGAAGGATCGCCCAAAGAAGAAAGAGCAAGAACTACCAGATTCTTAGTGCATGACTGTGGTATGTGGTGTGGCCATAGGATGAACCATAAAATCCACTCAAATATCAAATCCTCTGTTGGGCTTTGAAAGCCTAGTCTCTTCCTACTTTCCCAGTATTTTATTCCTCTCAGTATACTATTCAATTCTGTGACACTGGCTTTCTTGCTGCCCCTCAAAGGTAGCTAGGAGGCACAATGAATAGAATACTGGACCTGGAGTCAAAAAGACTTTAAGTCAAATCTTAGCTCAAAAGACTAGCTGAGCAACTCTGGGCAAAACACTTAACTTCTTAACTTAAACACTCAATTTTTCTAGTCTGTAAAATGGGGATAATTATAGCACCTACCTCTAAGGTAGGCGCAATTATTGTAAGGATAAAATGAGATAACATTTGTAAAGCACTTCACAAACCTAAAAGTGCTAAAAAAAATGCTTAGCTTTTATCATTTGAACATAGTGTTCCATCTATTGACTCTGTGCTTTTTCATTGGCTGTGCTCTAACCCTGTAATACTCTAGCTCCTCATCTCTGATGCCTCCTAGTTGCTTCAAGACTCAACTCAAATCCCACCTTCTAAGAGAGGTCTTGGGAGAAAAGCACATGGACATAGTTGTTTGCATACTGTCTCCACCTTTAGGATGTGAGCTCCTTGAACACAGGAAGAATGTTATTGCCTTTGTTTGTATCTCTAATGCTTAGAACAGTATCTGGCACATTGTTCAGTTATTCAGTTGAGTCCAACTCTTTGGGGGTTTCCTTGGCGAAGATATTAGAGTAGTTTGCCATATTTTTCTCCAGTGGATTAAGACAAACAGAGGTTAAGTGACTTGCCCAGGGTCACACAACTAGTGAGTGAAGTTGGATTTAAATTCAGGTCTTCCTGACTCCAGGCCCACAGCTCTATCTACTGAGCCGATTTGTTGCCTCCTGGCACATAGGAGAAGCTCAATAAATGCTTGTTGATGGACTGGCCTCAACAAAGCTCTACCTTTTCTGAGAGCAATCTCAGAAAATTTCCCTCTTTCAGATGGAAGACCTCAGAAACTATAAGAAGGCATCACCACAGAGCCCCATGAATCATACGTCTCACCCATAGTAATAATAACAACAGTAAAATAAATCAACAAATATTTATGAATATAGAAGAAAGGAAAGAACCAGATGTGTGGTGATTATCAGACTTTGAATAAAAGAACTAAAGTGAACCAATATACCAGGACACAAATTTGAGATATTCTAAATTATCTGTAAGTCAGTCCATGGTTTTCAGTGCTGGACTTGAACTGGGGATATTATCAGATCTCCATGGCAGAGGAAGATAAGGAAAAGATGTCCATATCTGTCCAATGAGATTCTATCAGTTTAAGTGCATGCCTCAAGGAATTTTGAGGCCTCCTATAAGCTTTCAATGGCTCATGGAAAAAGTAGTCGGTAGCATAAACTACTTGGTTATTATTGATGTATATATGGATATATTTGGAAAGACATTGGAAAAGCATGAGGAACAATTAGTAAGTGTGCTAGATAGACTAACACCTGCTAGTTTGAAGTTTTCAGCTGCCAAACAGTTCTGTGACAGTTTACGTATACAATTACATCACATCTCAATGGGGACTGCAGTCTTGAGAAGATAAGCAAGCTAGTCACTTGAACACATTCAAAGACATCTATAGAATTTTTGAGAGCTGAAGACTTTTCTAGGATTCAGTGACTACTGTAGGAAGTTTGTGGAAAACTAGGGCATTAATATCAAGTCTCTCTATGAACTCATTCATGAGTGAATAGATGAGAGAAAGAAAAGAAGGAAGGAAGGAAGGAAGGAAGGAAGGAAGGAAGGAAGGAAGGAAGGAAGGAAGGAAGGAAGGAAGGAAGGAAGGAAGGAAGGAAGGAGGGAAGGAAGGAGGGAAGGAAGGAGGGAAGGAAGAAAGGAAGGAAGGAAGGAAGGAAGGAAGGAAGGAAGGAAGGAAGGAAGGAAGGAAGGAAGGAAGGAAGGAAGGAGGGAAGGAAGGAGGGAAGGAAGGAAGGAAGGAAGGAAGGAAGGAAGGAAGGAAGGAAGGAAGGAAGGAAGGAAGGAAGGAAGGAAAAGAAGGAGAGAAGGAGTTAACTCTGTCCTGAACCCTCTGATCAAGGTTGAAATTTTGAAGCAA